GGAGTGAACTTGCTCTCCAGCAGGGATGGGCTGTGCTTCTGAGGGCAATGGCTGCTCTCATTCTGAAGGTAGGATTCCTAAGACTTTCAGGAAGTGTATGGCAGTAGATAGAGGAACAGGAAGGAGCTATACTTCAAGAAATTAATTTAAGAGACACCACCCTTACTTTTGATGACCCCAGAATTTTCTGCACCTATAAGAGAGGCAGCCAGCTGTCAGGGGCCCTGATGACTAGACAGAAAAGAAGGCACATCAGGATGACTGCAGTTCATGGAAGAGGTGACTGAACACTACAATGACAACTGGAAATCCCAGCACCGCTTTGTCAGATTATTTGGAAATGGGACCAATATACACACTGGAAAGTTAAGACAAAAGCCTGCCTGAGAGAGAAAGAAGCTGATGGGCTTGCAGAAGGTATGCTTCCTGTGTGTTCACTTAGGAACACAGTAATGTGTGAATAGCTCCATAACTCTCCACTCTGAGTGCCCGAAGAGGCCAGAAGAGGATATCAGATCTGCTGTAGTTCGAGATACAGGCAGTTGTAAATTGCCCCATTGGGTGCTGGGAACCCATCTTGGTCCTCTGCTAGAGAACAAGTGCTCTTAACCATCTCTCTTTCACCAAGAGATTGGATTTTAAACTTTGTATCACTCACAGATAACGAAGCATTCCACACACATGACAGTTTTCTTCAAAATGAACGCCCCTAATTGCCTTGTGATGTGTCTCATGCGCCCCTAAATTGGAAAGGCTATAGATGAATGAGGGCTGGTTTCATGAAACTCCCACAGGTTTTGAAATATTTTTATGAGGCAGAAATAAAACAGCCTAATAGCCCTGCAGCTCCGCAGCTGGTTTCATGTGCACTGGGGAAGGGGGTTCTTGGATGAGAGCAAGCAGCTTCTCAGCTCTGTACAAAGGCACTCTAAAGGGAGGCAGTTCCAGTCCTGTCTCCCTGAGAGATTTTTAGGCAGCTCTCTGTGAATTAACTAAATCTAAACAGGTCAGAGTCTTACTCTGCTGACCTTTCAGATCAGATTTAAATATGCTCTTTTTGAAACCGGGTCCACCAGAAGAGCATCCAGTGTTCTTAACTGCTGAGTCATCTCTCCAACCCCCAGGAATGAGTATGTTCTAAAGAGACACCCGGGCTCCCCTCTTTGGCTACCAAATTACTGAAAGAATGGACCCCAAGAAATGAGAATTTCCAACTGAATTTCTTGCTGGGAAAAGAAAGTCTAAAGCCCTGTAGCATTCAGAGGAGGAACTTGTCTCCTGGAGAAAGATTGATAACTTGTCAGATGACCTTACAGGAGAGACTTGGAGCTTGGATAGGAGTAGAGGGACCACACCCTGGCCGGCCTGCTTAGTTATGCATAACTCATGCCAGCATCCCCAAAGATGATCTTGATGTGTCACTGGATCTCTTTGTGCCTCTTCCCAATGTGGTCATATTGAATAAATCTTTTCCTTCTGCTTTTCACTATTAATTTGTTTCTTTTAATTGGCTTATTGAGGATAAGTGGCTGAACACAGACTGTGACACTAACTCTGGTAACATCAACATCTCTGTGAGGTGAGTTTCACTAATCCATTTTAAGATGGGAGAAGAAACAGTGTAAATTGGGTCTGTACCCTTAGGAAAGTCACCACAGCATTTTTGTGCTTCAAGTTCAAGTTTGCCACAATGCTAATGTCTCTGTTGTCCATTATAGGAATATAATGAAGGAAAAATGAGAAAGCACTGGGGAAATCATTTTGTAAATTAAAGTTCCATGAATAGGCAGGTGTCTTGTCTGACTGTGAACTGTCCTTTTTGATGAGCAAAGCTATTTACACTTCACATGGGTGGGGGGACAGTACGAGTCTGTAGAGACCTGGGGACCTGGAGTCTGTACTGTGAGGCTGAGTTTGTCACTCAGAGGCTGCACCAGAGAATAGCTAAGGTCCACACTAGCACCAAAATAAAATTCTAGAACTATGTGTCATTTATATATCTACAATTAGGTTTTAAATCCAATATAGGGCAAATACTCTTGTGTAGGCTGCAATTCTTGAGTCCCTGGGAGCAACATGGGAAGGAATCTTCCAACATGCCATTGTTAATGATGCCTGAAAAGCATTAAATCATAATAATGTGCTTCAGCCTCTGGGTCCCCTCGCTAGCAATAAAACAGGATCTCTTTGTAAGGAATCGTAAAAAATAGAAATTTAGGTTTACCTATATAAATAGAAAGCCCAGCTAATTAGTTGCTGAGACATTTCTCCAGGGAGCAGGCGTTCTGGTGGCTTCCCTGTGTCACTGTCAAATACAGAAGTCAGCAAGCAGGTCTGTTTATTTGCCTCCATCTCCGATGTGTCAAAGAGAATATGAAACTAAACAAGGAATCAGGTTTTCCTTCTCTAATTAATATTCTAGAAGGCACAATTAGCTTCTTGATCTACTTCTATCAAGTGATAATGAGGTGGAGTAGACAGACAGGGAAACGTGGGGACACAGAAGAGAAAGGAGTCTGCCACTTGGGACCTGGCTTGTCTTTACTGCCACCTGAGGGTCAAGAAGCTTCAACCCAACGGGTAAGATTGATATTACTGACAGAGACAAGGCTCCTTTCTCTAAAGACATTTCAAGCACCCATGAACTGAGGTAACTCAAACCCAGAATGTAGTGACCTTGATGTTAACCATGTCAGAACCTCTCTATGATCCCTAAAACCAAACAATGTCCCCAGAAACCCACCTTACAGTTTCATTTCCACAAGGAAATTCTTTAAAGAAGAAGAGCTCAGACATGTGTTTTGTTACTTTTTGTTGTTGTTGTTTTTTGAGACAGGGTCTCCATGTAGCCAAGCTTGAGTTAGGCCAGGTTGGTTTCAATCTCACAGAGATCCACCTGCCTTTGCCTCCCAAATGCTGGGATTAAAGGTGTGTATTACTACTCCTGACTCATACATTTTTATAAAACTTCATTTAATTTTTGAAGTTTGCTTTTTCTTTTTTGCTGTTTGTCTGGTTAGGTTTTTTAAAGATGGGGTCTCCCCATAGCCCCAGCTAGCCTGGAACTCATTACGTAGACCAAGCTGGACTCAGTCTTATAGAAATGTGCCTGTCTCTGCCTCCCAAGTGCTAGGATTAAAGGTGTGTACCAACACAACTGGACTAATAGCTTTATCTTTGACTGTGGCTGTAAATTATATCCTTTGGGCAATATAACTTCAACAAACTCCAAATCATATTATAGCTATTGTTGAAATACTGAAGGGTGACGTTCTGTTGAAAAGCCAACAGTTATGTCTTGGGAATACACTGCACTTTATACAATTCTCTCTCTAAGTGCCAACCATGAGTGCTGTCTCAGACCTCACTTAGTAAACTCCTTAACTGTGCTTCTCTTTGACTGGGCTCGAAATTATTCTCTATGCTGTAGTCACAGACCTGACTTTACCTGAATGGAAGTCCCTAAGGGGGGACCTTCTCAGTCTCCTCTCCATTGGGCTGTGCTGCATGTCCTAGCCACTGACGACAACAACAACAACAACAACAACAACAACAATAAGCCCTATAAATTAAGGAAATAAATGCATACCAAGAACTTGCTGGAAAGAGACACACGTCTCTGGCCAGTCAGCTGACAGCCATGCTGTCATGGTTCACGAGGACCCATCCATCCATCACAGCAGCCGAGATGGAAATGGAAAATTGATACCAGCAACACAGAGCAAGCAGAAGAGGTGTAAGGAAAGTCTTGCTAGAGAGGAAGTGCAATCCCAGCTCTGGGTGGGGTGGCATTGGAAGGAAGACAGGTGAGCTCCTCTCTGCTCAGTGGACCCCCTTGTGAATTTACTAACAATGTTCAGTCAATTCACAGCATTTAATAGGTGCTGCATCTTTAAGTGGAGAGTCGACATGAGACCTTTCAAAAAGTCAGCACTCACAGATGAGAGTGGAGAAATGTAAATTGCACTATTTTTTTAACCAGAAGGTGTTTTAAAATGCAATTAGGAATGTAAGATTCTGTGACATTGCATGGCACTATTTATCATAAGTGATCCTTGTTCTGTGCTAAGCTAGAGAAGCCAGTACTACCTCTCAGAAGTGTAATAAGCCTCCCCAGGTAGCTCTGCCCCTTCCAGTCAGAAGCCTGCCTCAAAGCTGGAGAACCCAGAGCCGGGGAAGTGTTTCATCCCATCACAGAGGCATGGCAAGCTTGCAGGAGTCTACCCTCACGGTCCTCAACTCTGGCTTCAGCAGGCATGACTCCCAACTTTGTCTCCCTCTCTGACCTTCTCCTATTGCCCAACAAGTTAATTTTTCTAGTCTTGACTTTTGTCCATTTTAGACACTGTTGACTTCTTGCATGGAAGAAGAATCTAGATCTCCTCCCACCATGTTCCACAACCCCATTATGTCATAGATACAGTGTGATTACTCAGAGTCTCCTAAATCTTAGATGTGACCCACAGCCAGACCACATGTAGACAATAGTTACACTTCTTTTTTGATGGAACTTTCTGGGTTTCTAACATCCATACTTGTTTCTTCACTATCTCTGGCTCCCTTGGCTATGCTGCAGGCTTTGTTCTTCTTGGTCTGAAAAACTCTGTGGACCATCTGTGCTTTAAATTCTGGAATGGTGTGGCTGTCCCATCAGATCCCATTGCACCTCCATGGTCCACACAATCCGTGCAGCTATAGCCCCGCCCTCTTTGAGTCCCTACTACAGACAGAAGCCAGGTGAGCACGTGGGTTGCACTGACCCCAGGTCCAGCCAAAGCCCCCTTGGCATGACTAACTGGGGCAGAGACATCACAGGGGATCAGGCTTGGAGGAGTTCACACCCCAGGACAAGCCAGGTATCATGATGACCTTGTCACCCTCCAGCTGCTCAGATGTCATTTCTTTGATAATTGGAGAAGATTTGAGTAAAACAAATGTTGAGTGGATGAAGACAAGAGGGGTAAGGACCATAGGCCCCAATGGTCAGTCTGCACACCTACCTTCACAGCACTGAAGCAGAAGACGTGGAGCAAGGCTGCGGTCAGGATGCTGCGACCCACGCTGTACACAGCCGACGTGATCCCAGAAACCGCTGGAACACAAACACGAGCATGTCTAGCCATCTTCAAAATCAACAACAGAGTAAGGAAGGGAGAAGAGGGCTGTGGTTTTCAGTACAAGTTGCCTGCCTAGCAATGGAATCCTTCAGAACACATGGGGCACTGTTATTGCGGGGAAGATTGTGATCATGGCACCTGGGAGAAAAGCACTGAAGAACAGTTCCTCAGAACCACTTCTAGAGACTGTGGGGACATGTGTGTTGGAAGCAGGAGCTTCAGTGCTCACGGGTGCACACCCAACACATGTCCATAACGCCACAGGCACAGGCTCACTGGTGTACTCTCACAATGACACGTACCTGCCCAAGGCCATTTGTGTACACACACACACACACACACACACACACACACACACGCATGCACGCACACACAAGTTATTCCTAAAGCATAGTTTGAAGAGCTCCACTTACTCCAAATCCAAGGAATTCTTCCCTTCCTTCACTTATCCTTGACTTAACAAAGCTGTGAGAGTTACTTCAGATTCTCTGAAGGAACCCAAGAGGGAATCCAAACTAAAGCAGGTTAGGAGTTCTGGACAGAGCCAATCGTCCAGTCAGGTCCCCATCCTTTGTCCCTCAGACCACTAGATCTTCTCTGAACTTGAAACGCTTCTCAGGAAGAGCAGAAAGAAGAGACTCACCAGAACCTCCAAAGAGCAGCATGTCGATCTGTTCCAGAAGGTATGTGCAGAAGGTGTTGATCTGTGGGAAGAGCCCGAGGAGGGACATGGCAGGGAAGCAATATAAAAACACTGGAAAGAAGCACACCAAGTTGAGGGTGAGCTAAGGGCATTACTGTGGCCGAGCTCTGGCTTCATTATTGCCTCTTCCCCTTCCAGGCTCCCAGTCCAGGAAAATGGAGGCAGGTCTGGGCTCCTTCCACCCCAGCCTCTGGAGACTGGGAAGTAACGTGCCAAGGACAATAACCAGGGCTGGACCCAAGGAAAGACAGAGAGATCTGAACCTAAGTTCTCAGAGATGAGGAGGGGGCGAGGAATGCCACCTGCAGCTCAGAAGACAGAATTAGACTCAGGGAGACCAAAATGGGAATTAAAGCTCAGAGAAAATTCCAGAAAAATGGACAAAGGAGAGACAATAGTGTAAACTGAATTTTTCAAAGGAAAAAAAATTACATCGTGTTAAAGATCCTGTAAGACTAAATGACTAATGATTAGAATTTTCTGTTGTGGAGAGTTGGAATATTGTAGCATGAGAACCTGATTACCTTGGGCAATTTTTAGCTCCCTTTTTTCAGTTCAGCCCCGTGTCTACCCTAGTATCTTTCTATCATGTAAATCCCTTAAACTGTATCCTCAGCAGACCACAAGCGTCCATCCATCCCAAAGCCAGGAATGTCATTAGATGACATCCGAAACCTGTCAGAGCATTCTCTGCTTGTTGTAACCCATCTACCTGTGGTCCTCACCTTTGTGTTTGGTAAATTCCTTGATTTATGACATTCTTTGTTCTATAAATAAAATTTTGTGCAACCACTTCCATAGTGGACCATTTGGGCAACGTGGATCCCTGTTCCTGGGCCATGGTCACTCATATTTCGCTCATGAATAGCTATCTCTTATTATTCCGTTTGAGGGGAGCTGTATTTTGCATCAACAGCAGTTATGAGTTGTCTTCCTGTACAGGAAATGGAGCGAGAAGCAGAGCCCTGGTTTCCTGGGCTCTTGCTTTGGCACTGTTCACAGTCAAACTCCCACTCAAGGGTAGATGGAGTCACCATGAGGCTCTCCTCACAGTCAGGGAGCTTGGAATGAACTCAGAATGGCAGCGGCTGTGGTGGTGTGCTGGGTCCAAGAGGGCAGCACCACTGGGGAGATGTACAAAGTCACACCACCTCCCACGTACCACACACCACCTCCCACATCAGAACAACTTTGCCATAGGCACAAATGCCTATAGATTCAGTGTGTGACAGAAATGATTCATTACAGGTGGAAGAAAAGCAAGTGACACTGTATAGTATAAGTGTGGATCAGTTCTTGTGTGTGTGTGTGTGTGTGTGTATGTGTGTGTTTGTGTATGTGTGTTTGTGTATCTATACTTGTTTTTAATGTGTGTGTATGTGTTTATGTGTGTCTATGTGTGTTTTTGTGTGTGTGGTGTATGTGTATGTGTGAATGTCTGTATGTGTCTGTATGCTTATGTGTGTGTGCATGTGTGCCTGTGTGCATATGTGTATGTGTGGTGTGTATGTGTGTGTGTCTATGTGTATGTGTATGTGGTGTGTGTGCATGTGTGTATATGTGTATATGTGTGTATGTGTGTATGTGTGGTGTCTATGTGTGTGTGTGCATGCGTATGTGTGCCTGTGCATGTGTATGTGTGTCTATGTGTATGTGTGTGGTGTGTGTGCGTTTGTGTGGGATGGTGTGTGTGTCTGTGTATGCATGTGTGTGTATATGTGTGTATGTGTGGTGTGTATGAAGGGGAAGCAGGGAAGGAGGGACACCAAGATTGTGTGGGGTGTGTGTGTGTGTGTGGTGTGTGTATGTGTGTGCATAGTATGTGTGGTATGCGTGTAGGGGATGAAGGGGAAAAGGGCGATAAGGAGAAAGAAAGAGAGAGAGAGAAGAAAGAAAAAAAAAGAAAGAAAGAAAGAAAGAAAGAGAGAGAGAGAGAGAGAAAGAAAGAAAGAAAGAATATAAGTCTTAGTAAAAGAGCTCACAGAAAAATTTTATCCTCATCTCGGTAGTGCAGGCCTGTAATCCAGATACTCAGGAGACTGAGGGAGGAGGATTGCAAGTTCCGGGCCAGTTTGAGATACAAAGTGAGTTCAAGGCCAGCCTTGGCAACTTACTGAGGCCCTATCTCAAAGTAAATAGTTACCAGGGAATTGAAGATGTAGATCAATCATAGCGCACTTCCCTGTATAAGCTAGGTCCAGTACCACGAACTAATCTATCTATCTATCTATCTATCTATCTATCTATCTATCTATCTATCTAATCTATCTATCTATCTATCTATCCTTCTATATCTATCCACCATCCATCCATCCATCCATCCATCCATCATCTATCTACCTATTCATCTATTACCCTTGAGGCACCTATCTCCTTTATCTACCTTACATCCACCTTAGTCTCTCCTCCTTCTATCATCTGCCATCTGGACTTCTCTTCTTGCCTCTGAGCTGCTCCTCCCAATGACAAACAGTATTGCCACCTTTCCTGTGGTGTTTACTACTTGACACCACATTACTGGCCATGCCTTAATAAAAACAGCCTTATACTTCGCATCCATTTTAAGGCCAATAGAGGACCCAAACTGCTGAGAATCCATTCCTTCAGAATTTTTTTAGGATTGTGCTCTCAAATAAAGTCTTCATTCATTCTTTTATTGAAACAGTATATCCAGCATGAAATGGGGAGGAAAAGTTGGATACGTACCTTATCAGAGAATTTAGCCCTTTCTGATCCCTAGACGTAGACCAACATAACACAACTATAAACAGATGTTACCTACTTCTCTCATTTTTTTCAATGTGATAATCATTGTTTTCAGTGCTCTGATAGTTAAAACCTACAGACACACATTTATATATTATTTGGGGTCCAGGCAAGGAATTAAGGCCATATGTCCAGGTCTCTAGAAGAGTATATGGCTCAGTGAGCTTGTTTCCATTACAAAGAGGCCTAAAAAAGATTAACATTTTGATTGCAAGGTTAGACAAAGGTCATTTGTCCATATTGTAAAAGTCATTCCTATATTTTCCTACCCATTGATTGGGGAAGTGACTCCTCCCACTAGGGAGGCAGCCCAGGCTAGTCAGGCTCTCCTTGAGCAGCAGGCTCAAACTCTTGGACCTGTCTTCTCCTTATCTCCCTCTACTCCTCCTCCCATGCAAAGGCTGAAGGCCTGTTCTGGTTGCAGCCCAGAGAGGAACAGTTCCTCTTGGCTCCAAAAGAGTCCCAAAGTCAACGGTGCCACTCTGTGTTATATACACTTAGCTCTTGCTTCTCTCTCTTGTCCTTTTACTGGGTGATCCTTGCTCTGGGTGTATTGTGTCACCCTCCAAAAGATGCTGAACTCCTAACCCTGGGCCCTGCCTCTGTGGTCTCATTGTTACAGACCTTTGCAGGTGATGAAGTCAAGACAAGAGTCTCAAGGTCCCTTGCGGCCCTAAACCAATGTGAAGAATCTCCTTATAAAGAGGGGAAATCTGGGCCAGGTGTGGTTCTACCAGTAGAACCGTGCATGCATGAAGCCATGGGTTTGATTCCCTGCAGCTTATGTAACTAGGCATAACGGTGCATGACTGTAACCCCAGCACTCAGGAGGTTGAGGTAAGAGGAGGGGCACAAGTTGAAGGCCAGCCTGGGTTACCTGGTGAGACCCTGTTTCAAAACCAAAACAAACAAAAAACACAAGGGATGGCAAAATGGATCAGAGGGTAAAAGCCCTTTCTCTCCAAGCCTGACTACCTGAGTTTGACCCCTAAAACCCATGGTGGAAGGAGAGAACTGACTGCAATAAATTGTCCTCTGACCGCCATGCTTATACCATGGAATGGGTACACACACACACACACACACACACACACACACACACGCATACTATATACATACAATAATAAATAAATAAATTTTAAGAAGACAACAATAACAATGAAAAAGGTAATTTGGTTCCAGAGACAGGTAGGCACAGAGATGTGACACCCCAGAGGGGAGATGTCCTCTACAAGGTGAGGAGAGGGGCCTCCAGGCCTGCTGGCACCTTCGTCTTGGCCTTCAGCTCCCAGGCTGTGCATCCATGCAGTGTCCTCACAGCCCTGGAAACTAGCACACGCCTTTTCTCTTCTGCTAATCTTTCCTTTTCTTACTTTTCTCCTACTCTCCTTGCTAGTCCCTGGGTGTGACAATGGGGGCAGTTACATCCCTCCCAAGGTCCCTCACACTCCAGGAAAAGTTTCCACAAAGCATCAATGGCCTTGAATCACCTTCTCTTCCACAAGGATCTTATGAGCCGCCACTCGTTTTTTCCCATATATTCTTAGTACACTGCAGGAGCTTTACTGAGCAGTGCAAATTAGCACATTTAATACCTTCGACCTCAGGATTTGCTGTTGTTCTTTTTCTTTCTTTTCTTTCCATTTATCTGAACTGAAAATATACCTAGTCAGCTTTCTGGGTTATTACCTTAAAAAACAAAAACAAAAACTTGTCACTGTGGTGGTACAGATAATATGTATTAGAATGGTTTAAAAACAGAAATGAAATTCCAGGGATGAAGGTAGAAAAACTATATTCCATGTCTGTCCATGCCCTGGAAGAACTGACCTTAACAAAAATAAAAGGGCAGTGTGCAGGGCCAGTGTCTATGCCACATACAGGGTACTGCTGAACAAGCAGTCAAGCGCCTTCTGTTGCCTGTTTAGCATCAGTAATGTCTCATGCCCAGGTAAGTAGGCCATGTCAGGAAATGCAGGAGTTCACAGAGCTGGCCTGGGGTAGCAAATTAAAGAAAAATAGGAAGTGGGTGCACAGGACCAAGGCATGAAAATCAATTTGAAAAAGGGAATGTATGTCATGCTTTGCTTCCTCCAAGTCTGTCTTCCTTCCCTCTCCTTCCCTTCCTTCCCCTCTTTCTTTCCCCTTTCCCTTTTTACTTTCTCCTCTCTACCCAGAGCTCACCCATATGACTAGTCTCGCCAGTCAGCTTGCTCTGGGGATCCTGGCTCTACGTTTCTAGGCTGGAATTAGAGTTGGGCGCCACACTGAGCTGGCATTTAACTACATTTCCTCAGTCTTCCTTGCAAGTATTTTAACCACTGAGCCATCTTCCTAGCCCCTTTGTCTGTTTTTTGTTTCATTTTTTGAGACAGGGTTTCAAGAAATTCTGACTAGCTTCCACCTTGCTATTTAAGTTATAGCAACCTTGACCCCCTGGATCCTCCTGCCCCAACCTGCCAAGTGCTGGGATTACACGTGTGTGCCATCATACCCAGCAGCCTCAGGTCACTTCCTACAATTATCTGCTTCTTAAGAAGGTCAATTCCAAGGGTCAAGTGGAGCCTTCCCTGATTTGTGAGTGGGAAGCATTCCGAAGGCTTCTGCGCACATTAATTCTAGACCACTTAAAGAGCGCCTCCGTATTCCTCCCTTCCTCCATCCCACTTAGGCTTATCTGGTGCCTGTGGACACCAGGCACCAAGTCAAGTACAAGAGGTCAGTGGTGAGAAGCCAGGTGGGCCTCTGCCTCCCCTGTGGCAGGAGGAGGGAAAGGAGCCAGTGCTAACTACCATGGTCAAGGGTGGTGGAGAAAGAACACATCACAGCCTTCAAGGAAGAGGGGAACAGGAGCCACAGCCACTAGGGCTCGGGGTCACAGTACACACCCCTGTAAGAGTTGGAACTAAAATCACTGGTCCACACTCATGATGGGGGAACGGTACCGGAGGGGACACAATCAAGGGAGAAGGCAGGATTAGACAGATGCCTTTTCAGATCCTTTTGTGTCCTTTCTGCCTTTAAAACCCAGCTCCTTGTGTGGTCTTGAGATTCTGGACTCCAACACTGCTATTCACAAAACAATACAGTGACTGACAGTACTAAATTAAAATCCTAAGATGTAATAGTACTCAAAAGTCCATTCTGTCATGATAGAACATCTCTATCTTAACTCTGACTTCACCACAGTTGGCAGGTCCTTGGGAGGAGGAGAAATTCCTCAACTGATGTTACCTCTTCTCTGACTCTAGTTTGTATCAACTTGACAAAAACAAACCAGCACACTGGGCAAACTTCAGGTCAGTGAGAGACTCTGTCACAAACAAACAAACAAACCAAACCAAAGTAGGTAATACCTAAGAAACAAGAGCTGAGGCTATTCTCTGGCAGACACACACACACACACACACACACACACACACACACAATCATTGTTAGAATGAGCTCCTAGTTGTCTATAGACGTCTATAGACTCAGCCTATGGACTCAAAGATAAAGGGGAGTCATGCCTTCCCTTCCCAAGACTCCTCCCCTGATCCTGAAACACACTCACCTATTAAGTGGTCCCTGACTGACTGCAAGGACTCTGGGGAGAAGAACTTCAGGCCATACACGACGTAGCTGGGAGGGGGCCTGGCCTTGGCCCCCGCATCAAGAAGTAAGATAAGACCACACAGCACACAGAAATACACTGGTCTGCTATAGGCTATGATTTGGTTGTGTCCCTAGAAAACAAAGACAATTTTTGAGTTGTACCTTTTATTTTGATTCATTGACAAGAGACACACCATTGAGAACTTGCATCATACAACTGACCATAGACACCCCTCCTCCCCTGCTGTAGTCATGCACATGAAATGCCAGGAAGATAAAAGGAAAACAAGCAACAATAATGTCTGATGCTTATTTTGTCAAAGCAGAATGAGAACATCATGAAGAATGCTGTGCTTTCAGTTCCAACAAGATTTACCTAAGATTTTAATTACCACCTTGGAGGAAGTTGGTATCTAATTCAGTGTTTTCCCCAATACTGAGACTTCCCTTCAGCCTTGTTCCTTTCAGGTGCAAAACTCATTGAAACCTGAATTTATTCTGCATGACTAACTTGGGCTTCTCTATCAAAAGAAAGAGAATTATGAGTTGTGGACTTCAATTCCCTAATATTAGGAAGCTAGGTGATACAGGCCAAAATCCATGGAGACCACGTTGCATGTCTTAGTGAAATCCAATGGAACAGTCTCTTTGTTTAAGAAACTTGCTATTTTGACTGTTGTGATGGCTAATCCTAGGTGCCATCTTGACTGGATCTGGGATTAACTGAAATGAGAGAGACCTTCTTGACTGAAGGATTATCTGAAGCTGAAAGACACACCCTAAATGTGGGTGTTACCTTCTGATGGCAGCCCGTATAAAAGGCCATGGCACAAGCGAGTGCTTGCTTTTTGCTGTTTGCCTTCTCTCTCACTGGTGAGTTTGTCTTGCTTCTGTAGACTGAAGACTAGCAGATCTCCTGGAATTCATCAGACCTTGAGCACCAGATTGGGACTACTGAGACATGCAGCCTCATGAACTGACCAACTACCAGAGTCTCAGCCTCTGTAGTGTGGTGCAGCCATTGTTGGACTACTCAGACTCTATCCTGTGAGCTTATCTGATATATATATATATATTCATTCATTCTACTGTTTCTGTTTCTTTGGAGAACCCTGACTAATACAACTGTTGACAGTACTTTACATCCGAGAGGAACAAAAGCCTTCCCAGACCTCATTTTAGTCTTCCACTATTTGTATAAGAAGTAGAAACATCCCAGAATGGCAATACATGCCATTAATCCTAGCACTCAGGAGACAGAGGCAGGCGGAACTCTGTGAGCTCAAGCCCAGTCTGCCTACACAGGGACTTCCAGGCTAGCCAGTGCTATATAGTGAAGAAAACAACAACAACAACAACAACAACAAAATAGAATCACCTTTTATTCTTCTCCAGTGGCTGAGGAAAAGGGCTTATGAGATGGCACAGCAGGTAAATGTGCTTGCCATCCAAGCCTGGTGACCACAGTTTGATCCCACACAATGACATAAAGATTGACCTTGAGACATGCACTGCACACACATCATGCAGCCTCTCTCTCTTTATACATACACATATATGTGTGTGTGCGTGTATGTGTGTGTATAGATAAGTAGATAGATACACACAAACATTCATTTTTAAATCATTTTTAATTAAGGAAAGGGTATGACATCATGCTTTCTGGGGCAAGAGCTAGCAAAGCTTTCGCATTTCAAATATCAATGCATAAGATTCAAGAAAGCAAAAACAGTGAACCAGGGGGAGACTGGGCTTTGCAATTCATGAATATACAAGGCAGAGGGTAAAGTGCTGTGGTCTCAGTTGGGTGGTATTTTTTAGTCACTGCCTTGAACATGCTATATTTAGAAAGACAATTTAAATTGCCATTTCTTCCAGAATAGAAATGATCCTATTCTAAGAGCATCTTAAAATAGGAAGAAGACACAGTATCTGTTATAGAGACAGGCTGTGTTTGGTTCTAAGACCAGGCTTAGTCTTGAAAAATATTTGCAAGCATAGGGAATTTTCTTTGAAATTCAAGTAGGTCACAGATTAATGAGCATGAGAATACTTTCTGTGTATTAGAAAATAATGAAGCCAAAACCAAAGTGAAATCTAAACAGCAGGACAGCAAATTATCAGGTATCAATAACTGTGTGGCATACCATCCACACACAGACGTTTCCTCAACCTGACATGGTTTAGAAAACAAATAGTTATCACTTGCTCTGATTCTTCCTTTCTTCAAAGGGTTAATGGGCTGGGGAGGGGGATCAGTCACTAAAGTGCTAGCCTTGCAAGTAGGAGGAAGAGAGTTCAAAATGTTGGGTATGGTGGTGTGCTTGTGATCCCATTTGGGGAAAGCAGAGACAGTTTGTCCTAGTCTTGTACACATTGCTGTGACAAAACACTCTGACCAATATCAACTTGGGGAGGAAAGGGTTTATTTAGCTTACATATTCCAGGTCACAGTTCATCCGGGAACCCAAGGTAGGAACTCAGGGCAGGATCCTGGAGGCAGGAGCTGGAGCACAGGCCATGGAGGAATGCTGCTTACTGGCTTGCTCTCCTGGCCCACCTGTCCAGGGGTGGCACATCACTCATCAAGAAGATGCCCCTCAGACATGGCCACAGGCCAGTCCAATAGAAGCAATTCCCCAACTGAGGCTCCCTCAACCCAGGTGTGTCGAGTTGACACTAAAGCTATCCAGCATGATGTACCACAATCTGTATTAGTCAGGGTTCTCCAAAGAAACAGAACAGGTAGAATGAACATATATGTATAGAGACTTATCAGCTTAGCTCACAGGATAGAGTCCAAGCAGTCCACCAATGGCTGTACCACAATGGGGAGGATTAAAATCCATAGTCACTCAGTCTAGCTCACAGGATGGAGTAGTAGTCCAATAATGGCTGCACCACACTGGAGAGGCTGAGAATCCGTAGTCGCTCAGTCCACAAGGCTGGATGTCTCAGCAGTCCCAATCTTGTGCTGAAGGTCTGACAAATTCCAAAAGACCAGCTAGTCTCAGTCTACGGCAGCAAGACGAACTCACCAGCAAGAGAGCAGGCAAGCAGCAAGAAGCCTGGCATTCTTCTCTGTCATGGCCTTTAATATGGGCTACTGTGAGACGTTAACACCCACATTTAGGGTGTGTCTTCCAGCTTTGGATGATCCAATCAAGAAGATCTCTCTCATGTCAGTTAATCCAAGATCCAGTCAAGTTGACACCCAGGATGAGCCATCACACAGTTGGATCCCCGGGGCTCACTGAAGAGACAGCCTAGCTTCCTTGGCAAGCTCCAGGACAGGGAGTTTGTGGTTTGAATGAGAAATGTCCTCCAAAGTCTCTAGTATTTGGACATCTGTCCCCCAGTTGGTGGCACTGTTTGAGGAGAATATGGAACCTTGCTGGAGAACATGGAGCCTTGCTGGAGGAAATGTCACTGGGGGTGGGCTTTGAGGGTTTATAGTATTCCCAACTTTCTGTTTGCTCTGTTGACTTCCTGTGTAATGAAACGTGATCACCCAGCTTCCTGCTCTGGCTACTTGCTGCCATGCCTCCCTGACATTGTGGAACCCCACTTCACTCTGGAACCATAAGCGAAAATAAATTCTTCTATAAGTCACTTTTGGTCATGGTGTTCTATCACAGCAACAAAATGTGACTGTGAGTGACCCAGTCACAGAAGTGGATGTCATTTCTGAAGATGACAGCTGAAGTTATCTTCCCAGTTCCACATGCATGCATACACACATGCATATGTACTCACATACATATGTACACATGAACACATACACATATGTACATTTAAAAAGTTTAAAATGCATTATCTAGGAATAGAACATCTTGGTCTTGAATAGTATGATATGCCCTCTTGCATCTTCCAGGTAGAACTTTATCAGTGATGGGAATGCATCCTCTGTATCAATGATTCACAAAGGAAAACAGTATCCTTACCAAGAGCTTGCCTTCTCCTGTGATCATGCATCAGCCCCTTCTTCCTTCCTGTGTTTTGGGTCCCAAAGCCACTCTACGTGCCTTGTTTATTCACAGCACAAAAGTCAGCGTACATACATACCTTGACTACTGAGAACACTTCCTAATGAAATTCCCACACTCTCTTGTTGTTGAGTTCACATATGAACCAGTCATCAAACCCCCAAGGACTGATTTTTTAAAGTTTTTCAATAGAAAAATTCTGCTCTCTACACCAGATAAAGCCTGCTTGTCGTCTCTTAAAAATTCATTTGGCTCCACCATCTGGTTTTCACCTTAACTTACACAGTGGGAAACACAGCTGGAAGCCTCCTGGTGGCAGATGCCTGGACCCCAACCTCCAACTTATGTATGTTTCCCATCAGCCCTTCCTACCATCAAGGTCTGTAGCATGCTGTTCACAGAGCAGTTTGGAAGATCCAGAAAAAGAAAGAAGAATTCTCTAGCGAGACCACCGACTCGTGGACTAAGTCAACAGTCACCTGCTTGCTTTTGACGCTCAAGATAGCTCATGAATTGCAAAGTAGACTTTCCCCCTAATTGATTTTTGTTGGTTTTTCAATCTTATGGGCTGCACATAGATTTACAAGATGTGAATTCTTTGCTGGCTCTTGTTCTGGAAATATATCTTCTTTATCAGAGCCGCTGGAGACAAAGCAGCTAAATCGGGGCTGAATCTACTCAGGAATCTGTGCAAGGGATTTAGTACTGCAGTGAACATGGGCAGATGTCTGACCATGGCTTTCTCTGACAGTGAGAAAGATAAAGGTTGATCCTGTGGGAACCAGACAATATGACTTTGGTTCAGCCCAGCAATGTGGGGGTCACAGTAATGACACCTCAAATCTTCCAGAAACCTGTGGCTTTACTGATGCCCCCCAACATACACCCCATTGTACTAGCATGTTTTGTATTACTTTTGAAAGTATATGCAGAAAAGGAATTGTGTATGTGTTATGTGTGTAAGTATGTATGTCTGTATGGGTGTGTGCATATGTGCATTCAGGTACACACGTGTGCATGTGTATGGAGGCCAAAGGTTGACATCATGTGACTTCCTCAATTCCACAATTCCATTGCCCTCTTTCCCTCCCTCCCTCCCTCCCTTCCTTCCTTCCTTCCTTCCTTCCTTCCTTCCTTCCTTCCTTCCTTCCTTCCTTTCCTTCCTTCCTTCCTGTTTTCTTTTGATTTTTGAGACAGGGTCTCCCTGTAGCCCCAGCTGGCCTGGAACTCACTGTGTAGATCAAGTTGGCCTCAAAACTCCTGCCTCTGCCTCCAGTGCACTGGGACTAAAGGTAAATGACACCATGCCTGTCCACCTTATTTTTTTGAGACGGGGTCTCTCACTGAAACCGGAGCTCTTGATTCAGTCCAGTGAGCTTCAGAATTCCTCCTAACTCTGCACCGATACCACTAGGATTACAAATGCGTGCTCCTTCCTGATATTTACATAGGTTCTGGAGCTTGAACTCAGGTCCTGACATTTGCACGGCAGTCACTTTACTGTCTCCCCAGCCCCAAGGAAAGGAATGTTTGATAGCATGTAACAACACCCCTTCCCCAAGTCACCCAGATTACAAATGACACTGAGGTGTATGTAGAAGGGAGGAGGTGATGGGGCACCAGAGGTGGGTGTCAGAAGAACTTCACACTGCATGACTTCCACATGCCCCAGGTTCCCAGTATGATCCCAACACTGCATCTTAGCACCCTAATTGCACTGCTGCTACTTACCTTGACATTTAGACAACAGGAGAAAAGAAGACGTATCATAGGTAAACCAATTATGGGGAACAGAGGACTTTAGCAAGATGGCATGTGCTGTGCCTGATCATCTAATTACATGGTTTTCTTAGTTACTATGAGCCAAGCCAACACAGATTAAAAACTGGCCTGAAACCCTGGATATGATTTTTTTAAGTGTACAACAGAGGGAAGATACGACTTTCTCTCATTGGGGAAGCGTTTGGGGTCCACATGGGTTTACTATGCCACTCGCAGGGAGGATAACTGGGCTAGGCACAGGCAGGGAGAATAAGGAGGGCAAAAGCACTGAGCTGTGTCTGGGTGCCTGCAGGATAGTTACTAAACTGCCAGGACCCGTGGCCTCCGGGGTACAGGGCTAGGGGAAATCACATGTGCTCAGGAGCTGGTCAAAGGATGCTGAATATTTTGGAGTGGGCAGAGTCTCTCCTGAAAACCAGCCTCTGTGTTACCCAGATAAAGGTAACAGTGCCCTTGAACATGGGTAGTGAAAGGAGACCAACTTCATAGAATGTGGAGAAATGAAAAGGAGAAGCACGGCAGAAGGTGAGCTCACACCTGCTAGTGATGCTTGTAAAGTGCCTGCTCTGCAAGCTTGAAGACCTGAGTTTGAATCCTCAGAACCCAGATAAAAGACCAATGAATAGAAGGGGGTACTGGCACCCCTGGTGTTCTTATAGGTGATGAGACAGGAGAGTCCCCAGAAATTAGCTTGGCAGATGGAGTGGAAAAGTAACAGAGACCTTGCCTTAAAAAAAGTGGGAAGCAAGGATGGGCATGGAGATTGTCCTCTGATCTCTACACACAAGCTGTGGCATGTGCACCTGTCCAGGTATGCACACACACACACACACACACACACACACCACATTAACCAAAAACAAAACAAAACAAAATAAAAAAGAACAGAATATATGGTTCGACAGGCACTTTTGCTTCTCTTCCAGAGGATCTGAGTTCAGTTCTCAGCACCCACATCTGGCACTCACAACTGCCTCTAATTCCAGATCTAGGGGATTCTACATACTCTTCTGGTCTCTGTAGGTACCCTCATACATGTGGCATATACACACAACACACACTGACAGACACACACATACACATATAACAAACAGACTACTGTGGACTCCATCAATCCTACTTCTGGGTCTCCCTTCAAAGGATGGGAAAACAGAACATGAATCACATCTGCATTCCTGTGCTCACTGAGGCACTACTAACAATAGCCAGGACATAGCCCGTGGTGGTTGGAATGAGAAATGTCCCCCATAGACTCATGCATTTGAACACTTGGTTCCCAATAGGTGGTGCTGTTTGGGGAGGTTATGGAACCTTTAGGAGGTGGAGACTTGCCCGAGGAAGCATGTCACTGGTGGTGGGCTTTGAGGGCTTATAGTCCCACCCACTTCCTGCTTTCTCTCTCTGTTTTCTGTGTACAGATGAAATAGGATCAGCCAGCTTCCTGTTCCTATGGCCATGATAGGCTCCACCTCTCTGGAACTGTAAGTCAAACTAAGCTCCTTCTTCCTTAAATTGCTTTTGGTCTTGGTGTTTTCTTAAAGCAACATAAAAGTAACTAATATAGGCACCTACCCATGCATATGCTGATAGATGAATGTGTTAGGTTTTGAGTGCAGAATACAGGAACAATAGTAGAGAAAGAATGTGACCACATATGACCTCAACAAACTAGACTGTTTATTAACACAGGGTGCAGCAGCCTTCTCACAGGATGGCGACTACTGCAAGGGGCATAGGGGCTGGTCAGAATCTTACATATGGGGTAGCAGCTACAAGGATTGGGGGGGCAGCTGGTGCGAGACAGGGGCTGCAGGGGAGGTTTATTTTCGGCCATTCTTTTGGTTTTTCAAGGGACTCATTCATGTGGCCCCTCTCAATACCCAGGGAGGGGGAAAGAGGAAGTCCCCAATATAGTACTGGATGTTCAGGGGAACCAGATGTTCTGTGATCAGGGCTCCTATGTTGTGCCAATTTCTTTCAGAACGGTTTTAAACAATGTGGTATGTATATACATGCACACAAATGGAATACCATTTTGTCTTTCAAAAGATGGTCATCATTTCATTTGTAAACATGGATGAACCTCGAGAGCACTACCCTAAAAGAAATAAGCCAGGCACATGAAGACAAAAAAAGAAAAAAAAAACACATAAATTCACTCTGTAGGGAATTAACAAAGTCCCACCTCACAGATACAAACAGCAGAGTGCTGGGTGTCAGGGAAGGAGGGAGGATGAGGAGGTGTTGGTGGGATGTACAGTGTCAGGCACACAGGCTCAGTGAGCTTTGCAGATCTATTACGTAGTACACACTACAAAGTACACTGACAACAGTCAATGATAATGCATTATGTACTTGAAAATTGAGAGAAGAGTAAATTGCTAATATTCTCACCAGAAAGAAAAAAAAAGTATGTGAAGTAAGGGGTAGATTAATTAACTCTGCGTAATCATCTCGCAATGTATACATGGCAAAATTACCATAATTTATTTAAAAATATATGTAACAAGTTTTAAAATAAGAACGATTCATGCCTATGTAAGTGATACTACTGAGCTAACATCCATGGAGCAATGCTAGGTGAAGGCCAGTGTTCTAAGCATGCTGCATGCATTATTCAGTCCCCAGATACATTTTCTCAGCTTTATATACACACACGGACACTGAGGCATAGAGAGGACTGGCATCATGCTCAGCATCAAACAGTCAAGTGGGTAACTGGGAAACAAAGTCTGGCAGCCTCACAGCAGAGTCAGCAGACCATCCCATCAGGCTGTTGAGTCTTTCACTGCCAGCACACCATGTGCTCAGATCCAGCCAGAACTAGGTGCCATGCACTCGCGTCTCCACCTGATGCTTCTGTTCCCAGGGTCAAAAGATGGACACAGATGCAGATATGGCCTTTAATAGACTCTGGCATCTCCCATTTTCAAGGCAAGCAGATAAGATAAGCTACTGGCCTGCATTTGGACACTTACATGTACTGGTGAAGCAGGGTCAGGCTGAACACTCTAAAACACAAAGCAGAGGGCCTGGGTCACCTCATGATTGCAAGGATACTCTAGGGAGAGCACACACAAGTGGTAAGAAGGGGGCGGGCTCTTACCTTGAGCAGGGAGTACTGGCAGCTGGCCATGACCAAGCAGAAGAGCAAGACCCACAGGTCTCTGCAGAAGCCACGATTCAGTGTCAGAAAGCCCAGGAGGGAAACCAGGATGCTGAGCAGAATGGCCACCACATTCTCCCTCACATCTTCAGTTCTGTGCAAAGCACATAAATAAACATGGAGGAGGTTAGACCACTATCCGTCTTAGCTGTGTGCATCTAAACAGACCAACACCGCCCATGGAGTTGTGTTGTATGAGCTTGATCCTAGGTCTCTGATCTTAAAATAAATGAAACATGATCCCATTGGATTTCTGAGCCCACAGCACTGTGCTTACTGGGAAGAAGCAATCAGTGATTCCATCCATAGAAATAGGATATTCCTGAACTTCACAGGCTTCTCTGAATGACTGCTGGAGAAGATTGCTTTGGCACTTGGGAAAGTGCTTCCTGATTGTCTCTGGAGGCAGTTTGCTTCTCAGTTTCAGTAGCAGGAGGTTTTGGAAGGAGGGGTATCCCTGGACAGTGTGGAAGTCCTGGCTAGGTGGGCTCTGGCTACACAGCCTTCCTGGGTGATTTTTTAAAATTATTTATTATTTTTATTTTATGTATATGAGTGTTTTGCCTGCACATATGTAGGTGCAACACATGCATGCAATGCCCTGAAGAAGCCGGAAGAGGGAGTCAGGTACCCTGGAATTGGAGTTATGGATGTTCATTAGCCACCATGTGGGTGCTAGAAATTGAAACAGGGTCCTTTGCAAGAACAAGTGTTCTTAATTGCTGAGCCATCTCTTCAGCCCCTTAGTGGGTAATTTTTTGTTTATGGGTTTTCCATATGAGATGGAAGATGCAGACAGGCCCTCACCCAGACATGGGGTCTTATCATAAAAGTATTCAAAAGATGCAAATGGCTGTTTATGGATTGTCAGGATGATGGTGAAGAGCTGTAAGAAGGAACTAAGAGGTAGATTGTGCAACTCATGAAATAAAGGGCTGAAAGAGGGAGAAAGGTGGTGGGCCCAAGAGGTAGAGATGGCCAGGGGACAACAGAGGAGCTGGTTGTTGGGGAGGGAGGATGAAATATGGGCAGAGATGGAGCCATGAATTCAGAGGGTCAAGATGTTAACAGGAGACCAGATGCAGAGTGGGACATAGGAGACCTGGCTGGGATGGAAACAGAGGACCCTGTTCACCACAAGGTCAGGGAAAGGGGACCTGGTATTAGTGAATTACCCACAAGAATTCTGAGCTTTTCTTAACTCACCATTATTTACTCATGTACTA